CCCCCCCCCCCCCCCCCCCCCTTCCCCCCTCCCCCTCCCCGTGTTCTCACAGTGGTTGCCAGAGGCAGTTAGCTGCCAGGGCCACCAGAGATCCCCGTTACTTCATCTTGCTGGAACGCTGCACACTTCCACCTCCTTTTTATCTCCGTTGCACATTGGCCATGATCCACCCACGGTTCAGAGAGGCAATTCTTTTCTCATCCACTAAGGTTCTTATCCATGGCTAAGATGGTTTCACTCAGACAGCGAGGAGGTGTCAGTGCAAAAAAGCGTGACACGCCACTGTGTTCGGAGGTATTCATGTCTGGAATCATTATGCACCAGAACGTAACTTAACTTGCCCTCTAGAAAATGCTGTGGAGTTTCTTCGATATTCAGGTTTACATGTGAGACAGAGTGAGAGAAGGGCTGAAGGTCGGAAGGATACGGTCAGTCCCAGGGAACAGCACTGTCCCTCTTATCACCTCTCCAAAGATGCAGCCGACTGACCACATGTCCACTGGGGTCAAACACACAGGCACATGCACACATACACACTCGCATTATAAATCACTCTTCTCTCTCCTCAATGACTTACGTATAAGTACATCAAAATACAAGTTTTCCTCTTGTATCCCTCATTCATTACTTGCTAAAAATGTGTCCAAAAATAATTTTATACTGCGGAACACAGATCTATGAGTCAAGGGGGAAAGAGTAGGGTCCCAATATGTCCCATGAGTCACTTCCTTCATGGTCTCTTTACATTTCTGCTTACATTACAGCTCTGATTTATACATTTCACCCTCATCCTCCCCCCCCCCCCCCCCACAAAGTGGGTGAGTGAGTTGAGTGCGGAGGCCAACCTTTGAGCGATCCAATCAAATGTGTGGAATTCAATTTAAATCCCTCTTATTCATTACTAATTATATTTCACATACGCCGTGTCACTCAGAAATACACCACAATACTGAAGCTGAAGACACTGTGGCTTGGCACTTTATAAAGTAATAACAAATATGAGTAATGCATTCCTAAAATTAAGCAACATGTTGCTACTTCTGCAACATGAGAATATGCATTGCAAGCCACCTCTTAGCTGGGCATTTTACCAGTAATTACGCGTCAGCCAAACCCAAAATACAACTTGAGTGTCCTTCCCATCACTCCATAGCCACTTATTTAACACGCTGTTGTACTAAATGGCCATCGAACACACAGCCACCCTGAGGCTCACTGTGCTGCAGCCCGTGCAGACAGACTGCTCTTCTATGTCTTCATTTGACAGACACTCAGGAAGGAGCAGATAACTTCAGCCGGGTCAATACTTCAGGTCGGAAAGTCTATGAAGTAAATTAAGATTAGCAAGGACAGGGTACCAGTCCAGGAACTGATCTATAAGCAGAAGATTAACAAAAATATGCATGATTACAGTTCATTGATCTACAGTAAGACAGGAAGGAGTGTTGGGTGATAAGAACTTCAGGTCGTTGCGAGAGCAGAGACAGAGGGGGAAAGATAGTGCAGAGCTCATTGCAAGGGTTTTCTACTTCTCCAGAGCATTAGTCTTTGTTCAGGGATGGAGAGACCACAGTATTAGTCACAAGCACCTACAGTCACACACGGCTTATCTGAACGGTGCATTCATAATTTTACAGAAAGAGGCTGGTGATATTCTATATTTTTGGTGTTGTCAACAAATCCCATGAAAATACATAAATAATACATAAAAATCAATATAACTGATTTCAGCCTTGCATCATAATGCTTCCCCATCATGGCAGCTGTCTTGACTTTTTTTTGCTGACATGCTAACAGTCTACGCCTTTAACATTTCAACTTTCCTCACACCACCAAGTGAGTTCAAGTAAGCTGCTACATGAGCTCAAAAATGATTAATTCACTGAGTGCTTTAATAACTGACTCACATATTTGGGCACCCTCAGATGGCAAGATGTACATCCCCTTTAAACACATGTGCACAAACTCAGCATCGGGGACTATTTATCCAAATCTGAACAACGTCATCTTGGAGATTATAGCCCACTCACTGCTGGGGAACACACCAGGTAGCCCTCACAAAAACTCTCCAGATGGCACACTAGAGAGAAGACTCCCTCTTGCCAAAATATGAGACTGAGTGAAGCTTAAGATTCAAATATACTGACTTGAGAACAAGAGTGTACAAGGCTTATTTTATGATGTTATTGCAGGTTGATTTAAAAGCGTTAAAAGGGGACATGTGTTATAAAGACATGATGTGAGTGTGGTTTAGTTCACCTCAGTTACACACAGAGAACATCAGGCCAGGTACAGAATATTCTTCAAAGTAAATGTGACTAAGAAATGGAAAATTATGGAACTAAAGTAAAAATTGACCAAGATACGAAATTATGTTCTGGTTATTACTGTATGAATTAAACATTTACATTATTTCCAGGAATAAAGGACGACATGCCCGTAGCTACTATATTTAATTATTCCGAACGCTCCAAGCACTTGACTCTAAGAGTGTTTCAGAAGGCAGTAATCCATCTTGAGTCAGACACTTGAAACCCACCATGGCTGGTCGTATTTAAAACAAAGAATGATTGATTTTTTTAATTCATCCCACATTATATAACAGCAGACACAAACCCAAGAACAAAAATAGTGTTACCATCAGATAACAAGGATACAGTCCCGCCCAGGGAAGAGGATTTTGTGGCGCACCATTTCTCCCATAATGCACCCCACCGACCATAAATCCACTGCAAGCACAGAGGTGACAGAAAGACGAAGGAGGGAGCAAAAGAAAAGAGAGGAAGGCAACGGTTAGTGTTAGACACATCAAGCTTTCTGGGAGAGGCAACGGTGATTAGCTGTCATTCAGTGAGGGGGAATTAATTAGTGAGACGCGTGTGACACAGAGATAAACTTGAATGAAATAGATATAGACAGAGGGAAGAAGATGAGCAGAAGCAGAGGACTAACAAGCGGCAGGCAATTCAAAAGCCTTGGAGACTACAGGCTTCTACGTGGGAGGAATATGGCTAATGAGTCATCGCTTAGGCTGGCATTCAATCACAGGTCTGATGTTCTGGGGGATTCTAATCAGTGACTCATAGCGCCAACACTTCAATTAACTTCAGCTCGTTTGCAAAGACTCCACCAGATGTGTTTGTAAGTTTCACAGATAATTGGGATCATTAATAGGTCACACTTTTACTGATCATTAATGCTCATGAAAAGTCAAACAATGATATATATTTTCTACAAGAAGCTCCAGCTCTTTGTTCTTCTGCAGGTAAGTCGCTGGTTTAAAAATGAGTTACATACAGCTCACATAGACATACTGATGCTATAATGTGATTCGACACTTAAAATGACTTTGTAACACAACTGCTTCAAAGGTGTTGAGTACAGGTAGATGTTGGCTGCCAAAGTTGTTTTGACTGACTGTGGCAAAGGGAATGTCAGACTTGTTGTGTGCATTAACAAAGACAGCAAACAATAGAATCAGTCCAGTGTTATTCTGCTTTAAATATGTCTAAATTTGATGAAACCAGACTTAATTATGATGCATTCTCACCATTCTCTTTGTACCCCATGCCTAGGATAACCTCTGGGGCTCTGTAGTATCTAGTCACCACATAAGGAGTCATCATGAAGCTGGTGCCTGCGGTCCTGGCCAGACCAAAGTCCAGGATCTTCAGGGTGCAGTCTGACTTCACCACTATATTGCTTGGTTTGAGGTCCTGGAGATGGGAAAAGACTGGTGTGAGAAACTGTATATTTTGGTCACAAACACTCTTTTCTGTTGACAAGTTTCAATGATCTCTGGTATGTTACTTATTTAGCATGTAAATTAACATTGTCAAATACAATGTCTGAAATGGTACATAGTGAAACTGGAGGCAATGATTTGGTAGTACTCAGCTTTATTTATTTTTTTATAGTAATGATAACTTTTATCTCCCAATCTGGAATTGCCTTCACCCTGTGCACTTTGGCAATGTGTCTGCTTAACCACTGTTGACATCGTTCCCCTTGTGTAGATGCTTTGGTAAACCAGTTAAATCTCCTGTTGCATTGACATAGACATGATCCCTCACAGGCTTCCCACCCTGTGAACCCTGCCAGATGTGTTTGCTGGGACACCCAGTGAAGACCGAAGCGCCAGAGATTAAAACCCATGTCTCCTCTGTGCCTTTGATTGCCAATAAACAAGGTGACAAATTGTATGGCTACTGATGTTTGACTACAAATTACCAAAAAAACACACAACCCAAACCATATTCAGTAGTTACACAAAAAACTGTGGGGTTTTCTTTCGTACCCTGTGAATAATGCCGGCTGAGTGCAGATGTTTGATACCACACAACATCTGGTAGAGCAGGTAGGACATTCTCTCGTGGTCAAGCTCCATCTGAATCACCTGGCACAAGTTGGCATCCATCAGCTCCATCACTAGGTACCTGAGAACATATTTATGAATGGGTGACAGACTTATCAGTTGAGTGTTTGATGAGTTATTGGATGAAATGTTCAATAAAATATTTTACAATAATAGCGCTCCGTGAAAGTCATAAACTGTGCATTCCTACCATTTTCGGCAGAAAAAAGTGCCACAAAGACACATGAATCCCTCTGCAGTACTATTTACCTGCATGAGATTGCTCTAAACGTGAACAGGATACCTCCGCTCGGATTACACCTCCAGTACTTTCACTGAATACAGTCCAGTGGTTGTATTCTCACAACTGCAGGTGCGAAGGAGTACCACGCACATAATACATAGTTAAATCAGTCCCCTTTTGTTAATTTGGGATACAATTTAAATGAAAACAAGTAGCCTTTTTTGCCTGTTACATGAGCTAAATTTATATTTTTCATGGAAATGTAATTATGCGTAGAAAGGTTTTACTATACTCACACATCCTGGAAGTCCTCTAATGATTTCTGTGGTGTGAAGACATTTAATAAACTGATGATCTGAAAGAGAGAAGAGCACGGAGAGGATTAACACATAGCAGTGACAGTAAATATACACACACATCTGAGTGGCAGTAATGGACGGGGATACGAGTTGGCATGATGACCATAGTGAAGGACGCCGCTGAGTAAGAGACAGAAGTAAGTTGTAACAAAAGAGAGGGGATAAGCATGAAGTAGAGGAAAAAGAGACGGAGAAGAAGGAAAGAGGTCAAACATGTGGCACTGGAGATTACATTCATGCCTTGAAGTGCTCTCCGTTTCACTCTTCTGCCAGTTCGGTACATTTCTGGAGGCATCGAATTTAGCACAGTCACAACGTCGCAGTCGCTCGTCTCAGTTTTGTAGCGGAGGGATTTATTGAGAACCAAAAATAGACACCGACTGGGGTATGACTTGAAACTGTGCTTCATTCTGACAATGGATACATTTTCATTATCCCTGCATTCTTCCCTATTCCCTGTTACCCCTCAGCTGAATCACTTACATTTTTGTGATTGACACATTTCATGAGCACCAACTCCCGGTATGCCCTCTTGGCATGGGTCTGGTTCTGGAAGGGTCTGCTCAGCTTCTTGATGGCTACATTTCTGTCCAGGACAGCATCATAGCCAGCACTGCAGAATAAAAAACAAAACAATTTTCCATTATTATTTATGGCTGGATGAATCACTTCGCAAGATGCTGTGACGATCCACCCTGAATGTCATTGGTCACAAAAACAAAATGATACATGAAAATAGATGACAGATGTTTTGAATTTTATCTGGAAAATTTTTTTTTTTTTTTCTTTAGAGGTATGATGTTGTCAGCAACAAAGAAACATTCAAATCAAATTTAATTAATGGGGCTGTTAAGATGAATATAGCAAAAGCATTTTTTCAGCAATTAAATAAATAAATTAAGATTCATCTCAATTTTAGCACAAGTAACTAATTTAGGGTGTTCACATTATACGACTACAAGGCTATCAGTGGGAAGAGCCACATGGCAGCCGTGAATGCAACTCCAGGAAGTCACCGTGACTGGCCAAGAAATAGTCACGCACATTTTACGGCTCCTGGCAGTAGCTTCATATTCATGTGCAAACATGAAAGCGGCATCGATCTTCTCATCTAACTTTCAGCAAGAGAGCACACTTCCCAGAATGTTGAACTGTTCCTTTAATTCCACATTCAGACGCTACAGCCTACCATACATGTTGACTTCTCCCATTTCCAATCATTAGTATGAAATATCTGTTAATATGATTATACTTGATTATAATGTGATGAGCATTATTGATGTTGCTGTATTATATATACAACAATAAATAGTGCGATGCAGTGAAATAGAGGGGATATTGTTAGTTATAGATTCATTATTTATTTTATCCACATAGTGGCTCAACCCATTTTGCAGGTCATTACAGCAAAGTGAGTTATCTGCTGACGGAACACAAACCCCACCTCTGAAGAACCTTTGGAATTTTGCCTCTCTGTGTAGATTTATGTTTGTTTCCAATAAAAAGCACAGCAGTGCCTAGACGAGAAACGGCCGCCATCAAGATGCATATCGCATTCTCTGCTATATTTCTCAGCTATATCTTAGACTGTGCCCTTTCTGATAAATTCTCCCTAAAAAATGCTACAAATTGAGTTTCAATGCTGTGGGCAGGCTTCCTGCAGCCTTAATCATAAGACACTCTGTGTGGGTTTGCGGATGGCTGGGTGGGTGGGATACAACCGTGGTTCGTCATGTCTCTGGAGACTGCAGGCCAGGGATAGTGTGTGACCATGGAAACAGTGGAGCCTTCATAAAAGCATTGATCCAATGGGGATTTGAGCCTGTCATCACTTTTCAGGCTGAGTGAAAGATGATGTCATGACCAGCTAAACTACTTAAAGCCTTCATCCCTCCTAAGACGCTTCTGAAAGCTCCTCCTGACCGAGCACACAAGTCAGAAGGGCAGAGATTTGCACAGATTGGGATGTTTGTGGGCGACATCATTGGCAGATTGAGTCAGAGCTGCGCCGGTGATACAAGTGTTCCCTCATTATCATGTGCTCAGCCTTTACAGGGGCAAGAATTGTCTGATTGCATAACAAAGGCAGAATGCACACTTACTGTACTTACTGTTGATAATCTGTTGGGTAACTCCCTGCTTGTTTGCATATTGTGATTTATACACAAGCGCACGTATGTTATAACTCTGGCACCTTCTTTAAAAGTAGCAATGGATTCCTGACTGACTGCAAGGTAAACGTAACTTGAAATCTTTCCCCTCTCTTGAAATGATACGGCTCCTGGCAGTAGCTTCATATTCATGTGCAGACATGAAAGCGACATCGATCTTCTCATCTAACTTTCAGCGGGAAAGCACACTTCCCAGAATGTTGAACTATTCCTTTAATACCATCAATGCTGACTTCTGCCGTTTCTAATCATTAGTACGAAATGTCCGTTAACATGATTATAATAATGTGATGAACATTATTGATAGTGCTTTATTATAAACAATAATAACTAGTGCAATGCAGTGAAATAGAGGGGGTAGTGTTGGTTATAAGTTCATGGTTTCTTTTATCCACATAGTGGCTCAACCCATTTTGCAGGTCATTACAGCAAAGTGAGTTCTCTGCTGACTGAACACAAACCCCACCTCTGAGAACATTTGGAATTTTGCCTCTTTGTGTAGATTTATGTTTGTTTCCGGTGAAAAGCACAGCAGTGCCTGGACGAGAAAAGGCCGCCATCAAGACGCCATGCACATCGTTTGAATATATTTTTGAATCGGTTGTGTTTGCAGTCATTTTAGCCTCTGAGTCCTGTAGGTTTAGTGTCTGTTGTGTTTTGGTATGTTTTCCATTGTAATGGTATCTGTTTGTACTTGTATTATATTTGTAGCAAACTTTTTACTTGCTGCCCATCTTTACCAGGATTCCTTGGCAGAAGAGATATTGCATCTCAATGGGACTTCTGGTTAAATAAAGGATAAATTCAATAACTGCAGGTAGAAAAAAAAATCAACTGTCCGTGCAAAATCAGACAGATGTTAGATGAAATGATGTCATCCAATTGGGGATTATGCTGATAATAATGCACAGTAAGCACATCACTCTACTAATTTGATCATCACATTATGTCACAATAATTCTTCCAACATGAATATACTGTATGTCACGGTCTCATGGTACGTTGCTGATGTGCTGGTTTACATTTAAATGAGACTATTTCCATAGTGTGTCCCGTTTGATCTCTATAATCAGTAGAATATTACATCTGTCTTTGGGGTTTCATGTGGTTTGGTCGTGGTAATACCGTCACCAGATGACACCAGATGACAGCTGTATAGGCAGAGCCAAGCAGCACACAGCAGAGCAGGTTAAATTAGATTTGCACTGTCTCCCTGCCATCCATATCCCTCAAATGGGCACAATCCCAGCATTAGCAGCTCCAGCCTGCCCAAGCTCCTTTGCAAATGCACAAAATTGCTTTGGAGCGGAAGGAGAGAAGGGTTGAGGGCATGGGAAGCAAAGGAAGGACAATGAAAGAGGGCAAATGGAGGGCAAGGGGGTTTGGAGTGTTGAGAGCCAGTGATTCTTTAAACACTCTATAAGAAACATAGATACAAAACATGTCAACTTGGCTCATCCCAGGAAGGTTCTGAGGCAGCTATATCACCACAGTGACACCTCATTAACATAAATATAACTTATAGATCTATTTGGTCATTTGACTGTAAGATGCATTCCTTTAAGTGGAGCCTTGGCAGCGGCACCGCTGCATTCTGACAGGGCAGGCGTGAGATGAATTACAATGAATATGAGCTCTCTCTGCAATCCGGATTAAGGATTCACGTAAGTGCCCATCTTGTTAGGCCTTTACAGACCACACATCCATATTCTGTAACAACAGATACAGTAAGTCATCAGCTCATAGCACTGGAGCGGATATGAGCCTATAGTGAATCCAAATATCATAAACAACCTGCACCACACATTTATGATTAAATCATGCCAGAATGCTCATCCTGATTATATATTGTGATTGTGATGCTTATTTTTCTTTATACAATATTTGCAACTTTTTTCTGACTTTTTCTTTTAAACACTACTGATATTTTTGACACTTTCTTTGCTGAAATCATTTTTTAATTCTCTTGTCGCCTTATTTATTATTTACCCCTCTGACCTTCTAAATTCGACCGTAAAATAAATATCATAAGCCTATTTATAAGTTCATGAGAAGAAACAGGTGCGCTTCTCAGTTGGGGGCTCAGCTTCAAAAAGGTCCATCAGGTCTGTCAATCAGTTGCAATTAAAATTCATCAAAACGATCAAGACATGAAAAGATTCTATTGATTTTTTTACCACCGGATTGACGTCATTTTCCTGAATTCCTTTTTTGGAAAGAAAGATTACTACTTCATTACTTTGTGACTTAGCTGAAGCCTAAACAGTGCTTTCTAACAAGTTAATCACAATTATATGTACAGTTATAATTGATGATAGTTTTGAATACAATTGTTTTGTGCCTGATCACAATCTAAAATATTCCTGTTCATCTTCATCAGAAAAACTGAAATTATTCTCATTTATTTGCCCTCTTAAAGGAACCTCTATCTATTTGCAAATACAGAATTAAAACCCAAAGTAGGAAAAAAAAGATCCTTCAAAGAAATGAAACTTTTCTAAATGCACAAGCTTTACGGTGAGCTGATTCATTCTCTTTCACTTTGCACATCACAACATTTCTTCAAAGATGAGTCACATGGCTGCATGCAGTGCTTTCAGATGTTATGACTGTCAGGCATAATGGAGGCACGTCAGGGTTTCAGGAGAACTGAAATCATGTCTTTCCAATTGCCAAATGAATTATCAAACTTTATACAATTTTCTAAAATTACGTTTGCAGCCCCTCACAAACAAAACGGTGAAAAACAATAAGCAGGCGTTCTCCTCCCATTAATAATCTCCCACAGCAATAAACTACAAGATAATTAGAAAACAACTAACAGCTAGATGAGATAATCAAATAGCGTGATATGATGTAAAACAGGACATAAAAGAGACGCGCTGTTGAGCACTTACCAGACAATTCCCTGAGCTCCAGAGCCAATGGGCTTTAAATTCTGGTAACGTTTTAAAACTGTGAAAGTGGAGTCTCCCACTTCCACGCTGTAGAACTGGTTGTCCACTTTGCTTTTACTCATGTTGTAATGTTTGGCGATATATGACACATCCACTTGTTTTCCAAAACCCTGCATGAAGCAAAATCAACAAGAGAGATTATGTTAGTGATGCTGAAGAAAATGTGTGCGTTTACTTACCTGGCAAGTAATAAAACATCTGCAAGGGAATCATGAATTTACACAACAACAGTAAAAGATAAAATTCATGTTTTACAGTTTATGTTATCAAGATATTATTGTTAATCAATCAACCATGAATAAAAGAGTTACAACAACAAAGTGTGTGTCAGGGGATAACAGGTAAAACTGGAGAGGTAGTAACAACAGGACGGGACATACGGTACAGTTGAGTTTACACTGTTTCCATGCAGACATCTAAACTCTGTCACTAATGTCTTTACTGTATTCACTGCACAAATTACATTATTCTTTTATGAATGTGCACACAATAATAATCAGGCTATAATTACTTGGGCAGTGCAGTCGAACAAACGGTGCCACAACAGAAATACCAGCTAATTACAGACGGGGTAATTACAACGCGGCTCACACACCAAACAAAGCTGCGCCACCGTGCATCACTGAGGGGCACAAGTTTGAATAACTTCCCACAAACGCCATGAAAAATGAATATACGTGATGTAATACGTTTAAATTCACCATGGCTGGCAAGTCATTTCGAAGCTATGATCCGATTATTACAACACATTGGACTGCAGGCCTTTACTGTACAGCCAGCTATAGTGGCTATTGCACATAAAGCTAACACATGCAGGTGTAACGCAGACATCCCATGCAAAGCGCCTTAATAGTTTGAGCTACAGCGGAATAGCCTGTAGAAAACCACGCGGTCCTCTCACACACAGACTTGTGCTATAGACTGAACAGTTAAAGAAATCACATCCCTACGGGAGTTTTGTTTATACACTGTCACAACTCAATAGGAGACGGGCTATTAAGCTTCAGCACCGTTTTGTCTTTAGTTAGGATCTCAGTGTTAGTGCATTAAACTAATTATCAACACTCACTTTTGACACGGAGAAGCACAACAAATATTACAACATATAGGTCAATGAAGGGGAAATGGAAGTCAATGTACCTTTTTTACCTGTAAGGAACACACACCTGACAAAAAGCTATCTTCACATCCAGGATGGGTTGGCTGCAGTTATATAAGAAATGTCTGCTCATAAATACCTGCAAGACACAAACAGAAGAGAGCCAGAGTCAAGTTTCATGTAGACATTAACAGGAACAGCAATTCATCACGTATATACAGTAAATATGTATATACATAATAACTGTACTCTACAGAGTATAGTGGTACATGCAGTAACATCTGGATTTAACCTGAATCACTTGCTACGCTGCATAAAACATACAGTAGAGAAGTTTTATTAACATGTGCACAGTGATGGAATAGCTGTTTGGGTTCATGTACTTCCATCTTTCCTGGTGAGGGATTGAATTTGCTGTTGTGTTCTCTCTACTCTCTCCCCATCATTCTCAATAAAAGTGAGAAAACCAACATGTCGCCACTACCCACTCCACTGGAATGGACCCAATATAATCGATTCTTCATCAGAGCACAACATAGCACGGCTACCTCGACCCAATGTCTTTGTGTTTCAAGAAGCTGGTGTGACCTGAATATGGCTGGTGCTATCGAGGAGTGAAAAACAAGATGACGTCCTAGCCAACAAGTGTACTCTGTCATTACTCTCCATATTCTTTTTCTTCCTTTTCTTGTTACTGTCTCACTGCTAAACTAAGCTGGCTGTACCTTCGTGATTAGCATACAACCATAAGAGTGGTCTCGATCTTCTCATGAGCTTATTTAAAAAAAATGTAGAGCTACTCCTTCAAAACAAATGACAGCTGTATCCCTTTGAAAGAATGCAAACATGTGCTGCGTGTCTATTGATTATTCAAAGTAATGAAGTCTGTGACTTATGAGTTGTGCGATCCCATACATTAGTGAGAGATTTCAATCTTAGCACCGCAAATACATATAAAAATATCAACAATCTAAACTCATTAACCTATTCAACCTTATAAAGCGGTTTCACAGGGTTACATTTAATACTGCTATCACACAAGAAGCTAACTTTTAAAAAGAATGAACCATCAGGCGTTGCATTTGTATAAAGTAGTGTAGTAAGTTTTGGCAAAGCTGGGAGGCTGTCACTGTGAAGGAGCAGCTAATGGGTCAATTTGGTTTAAATGTAAATTTTCACATGTATGCTTAGCTTTTTTGTTGGGTGATCAGTTCAAACGAGTGTGAGGGAGGAATAAAGAGGAAAGGAAGCGCTGAACGACTGTGGCACCAACGTTAGGCAGGAGCAAGATATCCTGCAGCGATCACCCGCAATGACTCTGCTTCAAGGGTTTTCCAGGTAATGAAGCCCTCAATGTGCTGATGATCATGTCTGAATAAATTGATATGTGATGTTCATAAAAATAGTAGTGAAGCCATTTTTGCTGGCCTATAGCGAGAGTGGTCGTGTGGTCATAAAACAGCGACAAATGTTCCCAGAATCTAGAATAGCAGTTGAAAGGTTGTGGCTTTGCAATTTTGCTCTCAGGAGGTGAATTTAGGACTTTCTGGACCCAAATGTATCACTTAGCTCCACCGGTCCTCTAATAATGTCAAGGCTTTAGTGGCAAGGCTTTAGGAGGCTTTAGGAGGGTGGCATTAAAAAAGAGATGTGGGACACAAAGGTGTGAGATTTCTGGTTTGGCCTATTTAGTCAGACCATTTACTTTTTACCTTTGCAGTGTCAAAGTACAGTGATGGCTGACATTGCTGCATTTTGCCACTGGGTGTGCTTCTGTGTGAGCCGTATGTCGAGCAATTTAAAGAGTGTATTACCAGAAGAACTATAATAATCATACACCGACTGAAATGAGAGAAAAGTGGGAAAAAGAACAGAATAAAAACGTGAGCAGGAGACACGAGAGAGAAATGATACAGAAGGGTACAGTTATGAGGAAAGAGTGTCCACACATCAGTTACAATCCCTCTGTCCACTGTTGTAATTTCACATCACAGCTGTATGTTTGACATGACAAACATCTCTGCCGCCACCAGCGCAATATTTGCTATTAATCTAACTGGTCAACACTGAATACCCCCCCACCACCTTGCTAGCTACGTCTATATGCCATCTGCGTACATAACACACTAAACCTCTCACAAGGCTAAAATGTTTGTCGTCCAGCAGTAAACATTGTAATACTTTAAACAGCTCCCAGATCATCACCAGGATATTAGGCTGAACGTACGTAGCTCGCTAGTTAGCGTTACAGTCATAAAAATAAAAATAAATGAGCAGAACCATAAAACCACGCAGCATCTTAACTGGATGAAGACCGTAAACAATTTGCTTTTGGAGCTGTTTACAAAGCTTAACAATAATGAGTGAGGAAGCGACTGATTGCCATGTCATGAAAAAGAAAAATTGTAATTATCGAGAACGTTTAATCGTGAAGCTGCTACGGAAATCACAAATCAAAGCACGCTATGGCTATTTACTCCCTTTGTGAAGCCGACAACAGATTCTGTGTTAGCTTGTTCAACCCTCTGACCAGATTCTGCTGATAGTGGTCATCGTTGTTGAAATGCTGCTCTGCTTGCAGCTAACACTAGACTCAGCGCCATTCTTTAAAATGCCCATATATCATTCTGACTACAATACGTCTCCTCAGTACAAGCCAATGCCAAGTAATAGAGAGGCTGAGTTCCCCTTTTCTACAAGAGAGTTGAAGACATATTAAAACATATTCTAACCGATTAGAATTAATCATAATTCACATTCATTTCTAATATACTTAACAAAATCTACAAGATATGAGGATGTAGGGTTTGTTATGTTTTTAACCCCCTTTCAGCTGTGCAAGTGGACTTCTGTAGTCCTGACGTTAAGACTGTGGCTGATTGTCAAAGACTAAAGTCTTTAGTGGTGAGGATCAGTTAGCATCAGGGGCGGGGAAAGACAGACTTTAACTTGAAATGAATAACACACTTACAATTAATGAGAGCTGTGACTGTGTATTTACAACCTGCACCGGTCTTGTCAGTGCTACTACATTGTTTGTTTTGCAATGATTAGAAACCGTAGCGGTTTGTTTTTTTGATTAAATGTTTTCCTTTAATTTACCAAAAAACAGCCAAGTCTTCAACTCTGTGCTTTTTGATACTTGGTTCCACAGCCAAAAAAAAACAAAAAACTAGAATTACCGCCTTGCAGTTGTATGCCTCCACCAATCATTCTAGTTGTCAGTTTACATCCATGTCTGTTCAAAATGTCATCACTTCATAATTTTTGTAAAATTGTCAAGATTGCCGTATTAATTCTTGTGTTATGGCCAAAGACAGGTTTTGTGATGTTACTGTGACCTTTGACCACCAAAATCTATTGAGAACATCCTTAAGTCTAAGTTGAGGTTTGTGCCAAAGTTGAAGAAATTGCCTCGAGGCTGAGATATCCTGTAAAAGGTATTAAATAGCTTTTGCATTATCTGAGCAACAATTAATCTTTCTTAAAGGTTTTCCCTCCTGTATACTTGCTCAGGAGTGTTGCTTAGTGTTGCATCAGAGTTTATAAAGCAACAGTCATCTGTGGGATGTACTGAAGTTTTGAAAACTTTGCAGTATATATTTTTCAGAATGTGCTGGTTTCCCTTCCTGTGGAATTGACTGTCTGATGGTGCATTTTAAATTTACCAGCCTGTGACCACAAACTTAAAGCTCATCGTAGTCTCTGTCGCTCACAAACACATTCAGACACAAATGTATTGCACAATTACAAAAGGCCGGGTCTGTTAAACTGATGAGACAACCCGACTGAAAATTGAAAAAGAAAAAGACAAGAGAGGAGGTTTTTAATTATCTGGAATGGTGTAATGCTCATTACTGATACAGCACACCATTAATCTCCAGTGCTGCATGGACTTGCTGATGCTGAATTGTGCTGGTGTATGTGTGTATGTGTGTGTGTGTGTGCTCTGCAGTTGTGGCTGGTCCTTGGTTTTTGGATGCTGAACATTCTGTTACACCCGCCATCATGGGAACAAGAGTGCCTCAGGCAAACCAATGATCACTCTATATACTGGGTCCCGTCGTGCAGCAGTAGCTCTTAATCCCAGCACGATCTACCGTGGCACACGTTCAGTTCTCTGTTTCACCTGAGTTTACTGCACACTGATATGCACCTGGCAACCAAGGTGCATATCAGCCTCTGATTGGATGGCTGAAGGACCAGGATTGAGAGCCACTACTGTTAGAAAATGTGATGATAGTGTCCAATGTCATCAAACTGTTATGAGCTAATGCAATAGCTTCCCAAATGTTTTTTTTCCCACCAGGTGAATAGTTTAAATCAGCTACTTTTGTTGTCTTACTTACTAGTTTAAATCACCTATTAGCTTAGCTGAATTGATTCTATTATTGTTAATATTGGATTTTAATTTATTTAATTAGTAGCCACCAGCAATAGTGACCTTGCAGCCATGTTACCAGGGGTATAATGACAATTTTGTAGTTCCTTACGCCAAGTGGGAGATATCGTTGGTGTCAGAAATTCACCAATATCGCCGCGTCTGAGGCCGGTTTCACCCACTGAGCTCTTAATCACGGCCAGCATGAACGCAGTATTATCAAACAAGGCCAAAGGAAATCATCGGGCAAAGGTGAATGTGCTTGTAATTAGACACAGGACATTTCTATCTTATCAAACACAAGTGTAACTAATAACATTACAATGGCTGCATTCCATTTAGTTGTGCCAGAGACAAGGGGGCCTGCTACGACCCCTTTTCACGGCAGACATTTTGACTTATAGCAGGTTAAGCACAGGTGTTATCAATGACATGTTAGTGCTCCAGAAAGACATATCACTGAGTATATTATGGGTATACTTTGCCTGCATATAATGGAGCTAACATAAATATTAATAGTTACACCAATGACATTTCTGTGTTGATTAAAATATTTGCAGTAAAAACATGTTTGTTGGTGATGAAACTGAACCACATCCTCATCAGAAGCAACAGACAATAAAATGCAACCCACCCATATAAAGATTTTACTATTCCATATGCCAACAAAGTCACCAGCAGACACACTGTGACATCAGACACAAATAAGACTAACATGTTGAATGGATTCTTGCAAACTGTAATGTTTATTATCCAATCTATTCATAATATCTGACATGAAAGGTGAGGGGTTTTTTCACTCACTCATCTGATTTATAGATTTTCTTGGTGGAGTTAAAAACCTAGACACTATTATTGAAGGACAGGATATGAGGTATTTCCCGTGTGACATGAGTCCATTTCATTACTTGTTGGAGAAGGGCAGCCAGGGGACATGTCATGCCAATAACTACTGAAGATGTCTCTTGACTGAAAGGAGCATTTGACTAGAAATACATTTCAACGACACATTGGTGGTGAAGTATGTAAAAAATTCAAGACAATCTTGACATTTTACATGGAGTGATGAAAAAAAGGAATATCATGTGTGGTAACAATGTTATATACAAATATATAAACACTAAATATAAAATGTAAATGAACAATGTGGTGCATCCACTGTCATCCAATCTGCTTGCATTTCACAGACTGTTGCTGGCTCAGTATCATATCTACAGGGAGACGTGTCATGGTTTGAGTCACATAGGATTCATTTTAAGTTATAGACAATGTTTTATGTCTGCATTAAATAGGTTGATTGACCACTGTAGCACCAGAGGGCTACTGATAAAACACCATGTGCCTGTAACACTAGTGTTATTGTTTCCTGCCGTATCCATCTTTGTTTCCTCTCCTCTCACCACTCTTCTTCTTCCCTCCGTCATGTGCTCGGGCCTTATTCACATTTTGTGACAATGTCCTCCATCCATGTCTTCATTTTTCCCTCCATCCTCAACTCTGATGAGAGCCTGCATTCTCCCTTTTCCTGCCTCTCTTTTGTCCCTCCCTCGCTCCCACCATTCCGGCTCCCAGGCTCCCAGCCTCGCTGCAACCGTCTCCCCTCCCCCTCCCTCGGAGCTTCATTGTGAGTGCTTGGTTCAGCAGCCTCTCCTGCAGTATGCAGCCTTGCCTTGCCTTCACTGTGCAGCCCGAGCCAAACGCAGTACGGCCTCACATTTGGGCTCAGGGGAGGGGAAGGGAGGCACTTCAAACTGCAGATACAGCCAGGAAAACAAGACAGCACCGACTCTCCCAGCTCAGCTACAGGCTTTGAGAATCCGAATGTTCACCGACATCGTATTGATTTTGTTTCTTTACAGATGAAATACACTTATCCTCTCTGTCTGTGCTCTCGTCTGTCGTCTCACTCACATCCTGCAATTCACTTGAAGTAAACAACAGACATGTTAGCTGAAAATCTGCTTATGCTGCAGTTTTCTGACAAGCCGCATGTTAGTTAACATGTACAGCTTTGGCAGGTGCCGATACATTCATCTTAACTGTTCGTACAGAACCTATGAAGAAGACTGGAGCAAATTATTGAAACAACTGTGCTTTCTGTAAAACAACCTCCTGGATATTCATCTGTAGCACACAACATGGGAGAAATATTTTTATTTGACATGATCACAGAGCTATCCTGATGCCATGGTTACAGACGATAATGCTTTCTAAAATAAATCACTGCTGCAAAGGTCCATTCGCTCAACAGAGTTTACCACACCTTGCACTTGATTACAGTATGAATCACTCATTTGTGCATCCAAATAACAAACTGGATTTCTACATTTAGCCTGTAGCTTCAGCTGCCAACACCAATCTTTAATGGGAGTGCATTGAGAGAAGGTTTGGGGATATAAGGCAGGTTTTTAAGCATTGTATTTAGTCTGGAATTAATGCCCTCTCTAAAATCCTCTGAATTGTTACAATGTCCGACCCTTAGTGACTCTTAAGTCTCTTTACAGATGTGCTGCAAGGGGATTGGGATTGAATCTAACACGGGCTTAAAGTCTTCCACTCAGCTTTCTGCAAAAGCAAATAAAAAGTGCATATTCTGTTAGATCAAAATCCACTTATGTAACTGTGCATCTCACTCTGCAGGCACGTTTTTTTTTCTGTTTGTTGGTGAGCAATACTGCAGCTTGGAGGAATCAACTTTCATGCAGCAAGAATTGAATTGTATTGATAAAAATAAGTAATATCACGAAAAGAGTTTCCCACACCGAGACTTTCGGTTCAAATCTTAATATAATCCAAACATTATTCGTCCATTACAGTGATTCAATGCCAACAGTTATGATCATAAAAGCATTAAGAAGCACCAGGCGAGGTAAATAAAACTAAATTGCATTAAAGCGTATAATTCTGTGGCACTGTTTCTTTTGTTAAACATATTAATGTTCGCTTACTTACATGAACCACGCACTACATCAGTGATGAAGAGAAACACACTCCTGCTCATGTAAACACATGCAGTCATACTTAAGATGTTATTTTTCCTTCATAAAGATATCTCCTTACGGTAACACACATTTATTTCTCTCATGCGATCTCTTTCGAAACAAAGTTGTCTATCTTCTATTTTCCCTCCTTGTTTGGCTATTCGGACCATTACAACATGGAGGGATGGATTGTTAAAACCACAGTAATACACAGGGAACAATACTCAGCCGGGGTCATTGGGTGATGATAAGCTATACCCGCACTCCTCAGTAATCCATCCTCTTTAAATTAAGGCTTTGACCTTCCATATAATCATGAAAACCGTGTCAGAATGGCTCCCAAAAGACTGATGAGGACATTTAAGTAATTGATGGTCAGTAAGAATTGTTCTGAGAAAGTCCTGAACTTCTCACATTCAGCCTGTAAACCTTCATATTAGCTATCCTGAACTGGACAAGTACTTAATTATGTATTTTTTTATTTGTGTGGTTATGCTCCTCTCTTCTGAATACAGTCATGCCGTTATGAACGTTTTTAGTGCCACAAGACCAGAATACATTCAAATCCTATAGACCATTTATTTCTATTGTGTTCATCACTCTAGTTAACCCATTTGCCTTGATACATTTTCAATACATTTATTTCCTATAATTTTCTCATAAAATCAAATTCCTTTTAGAGCTGAAATCGTCCAAAGATTAATTGGCAGCTATTCTAATAATCAATTAATTGTTAAGTAAAAACATTCCTTATATCAGCTTCTTAATTGTGAGGGTTTGTAAACTGTATATATTTGGGTTTTGGATTGTTTGTTGGACAAATCAAGACATTTTTCACTAATTCATGACATGAACAGACCAAACAAATGATCAATTAATCAGGGAAATAATGGGAAGATTAATTGATAATTAATAGAATAATTAATTGTTGCCTAATTCCTTCCTTTGCTGGTTAATCGTGCCTACAATCCCACCATTATCTCATCTTAATACATTGCCTTATTTCGTTACGTAACTAAGGATTAGTATACTGATGCTCCTAAGTCTGCGAAACAAAATGGAATTAAAATGCATCGTCTAGTGCAAGATAACATTAGTCTGCTGTTGGCTATTTCCATTGACGATTCTCCATTGGATAAACAAGCAGCCTACCTAAAAATCAATATCAGTGAACATCATTTTGTGAAGACCTGCAGTCGCTACTGCCGCAAATAATACAGATTGATTTATAAACTGAAGTTACTCCAGCAATTCCGCATAAATACTGAAGAACTATTCCAGCCACATGATCCGCCACGGGCTGATGATGACGATGAAGAGAAGTAAGTTGGACCTTTTTATCTATTATATCACTCCCTTCAGCCACTGCAGAAACACTCGTAAAAAAAAAGAAGAAGCTTTGTTTAATTGTTAAGCGTGTTCCCTGCAGCACTCTCACCAGCATGGGAGCCTGCTCCTGAATAATTCAGCAGCCAAGGTCACAGCGCTAAAACCTCTCTCTTTTCCGTCCTGTACGTGGGGAGTTTGTTGTGACTCCTTTATAAACCTTCACTGACTCACTGACGGCGCGGCAAAACACCAGTTATTAGTCCATGACTGTGGGCATGCACCAAAACAAGTACATGGAAGAATGGGAAATTTTAAAAATACAAGCCAAATAACAGATGCAGCATTTTGTTTGTGCTCACAAATAACCGGTGAGTTCTTGACACCTCTCTGTACTTCAATCAGCATAATAAGCAAGGCTGCAGAAGAATGTCCAAAACAAATTTTGAAAAATTGCCTTCCTCTGTGGATGCATCTCTTTTAATCCAATGTGTCCTGGGCAGCATTTAAGCCACATCAGGGTCAATAACATCCCATCCCCTCTGCATTATGAGTTCAGTTTTAATGACAAAGCCTCCAGAAATCACTTCCCTTAATATGTACCACAAACACTTACAGCATCGGTATCAAAACCACGGCTGAGAAAAAAAAAATACCTATGTTAATCAATAAATCGCCATACATTGAGACTGTCTGTCTGAGAATCTGCTTTTTTAGCACTTCTGATGGCTCTGAGGCTGGTCCCACATCCCTGGTGAAGTAGCGGGTGGTCTGCATAATGCACAAGGTGCGCAGCTGACATGTGAGGGGGAGGAGGGACAAACTCTGCATGTAGGCCTACAGTATGAGGCTCATGTAAGCCTTGTGTTTTGAAGAGCATCATCCATTTGCACCACCCCTGCATTTCTAATCAAAAATGCATGCAAAACGAGCCTCACACAAGTTGTTATTCGCCCCATAAGATTAGTCAGAATATGTAGAGATGGCTCACAGAAATGGTGCATGTAGTATATATATATATATACTAAAGTCAGAATGTTAAATAAGAAAGAGAAGTAGCCTATTTATCAGCCTATTAAGTGATGCGTTAAGCTCTGTGCTATTGAAGGATGCCTGTAAGGATGGAGATGGAGAGCGGATGGACAACATTTTGTCAGGTCAAGACTAACGCCATAATGAAATACCCGCACAGTGCTACTAGTTGTTACAAAACAACATCCGCTGTGTTGAATACGTCAAGTTGGGCTTGATTTTTTATTTTTTATTTATTATTTTTTTTTTTTCCCACCGAGGCATCGCGAGTGGACTTCATTAACCTTCCCTTCAGATCAATATTCATCATCACTCCACCTTCCAGGCAGCCGGGCTGCAAGCATCGCATCGCACGTTAATAAACGAACCCACCCGGCCTTACCATTCCGTGCCAGCTGATGACGATCCCAGTCCGGTGACGGTCCTTTTTCAAAACATCCCGACGAGAAACATTGCGGTGATCATTGCTGAAGGCTGACAAAAAGACGATGAGGAAAAGGAAAAAAAAGCAGAAGTTCGCTGGTGCTGAATCACTCACCCTCGGCTCACCACCTTGCAACCATTGTGCTGCAAGATGCTGGCTGTACCATTGTGGACCAACGAGAGAGGGAGGGAAGAGGAAAGGGGGGTGGGGGGGGGTATAGGGAAATTTGTTGCCATAGCAACCGAGCAGGAGCACGTCTGACGTCAAAGCCCGAGCACAGAGAGAGGGCGAGAGAGGAAGAGATTACATGGAGGCTGATGTCTCCGGGTGGGAGGGAGGGGGCGTGCAGGAGCATCTCTCTGTGATGATCCCGTCCTGTACCAGGCTCAGTCAACAGTGTCAATGCTTCTCAGCAAAAAAAGAATATATAGTAATGAATACGGAAAACAAGAAATATATATTGATGATTGTACTTTTTGTGGATTTAATGGTGAAAGAAATGCAAGGCACATTATTATAGCACATTTAATTTCAGGGAAAGTCTATGCATACAGCAAGAAGCACCACAAAATGAACATAAAAACTTCTAAAACTATACTTCTGCACATATTTGCTTTTGAATGTCATGTCTTTGATTTCTTATTTTGTTGTATTTAGTTTTTAACATCTATAGAACTGTTATTGCTATTTAGAGACGTGCTATTTGTTTGTATTGTGTCTGCAATTCAAAACAAAAGTATTATTAATGTTGGTAGTCTTTCTGAACCTTATGTCTTATGATATGTATTTATTTCTTATTATATTTCCCATTACCTCCTGGCACATTGCTATGATTCCTCTTCATCATTTTATATTTTTATAAACAAATGGCTGAAGTGCTCAGAAGATAAGTAATCAAATCATTCCTCCTATCTGTAATTGTGTCCAGATTAGCAGCAGCATGCTAATGCCAATGAGCCTCGGGTCACATCTGCATGGGTCAACAAAGCCGTGGTGTCCACCTGGATGTAAAAAATCATTTCGAAATAGATTTTTAAAGCTGCAATCTCAGTTTTAAAGCTGTGTTGACAGAGTTTTGGCCACTTCAAGAAGAGGAACCTGACAAATGTTTCAGCTGTGTTTTCATCCCCCACGACTTCCTGGAAAAAATATCTGGGTGTTTACCTCGCTAAATGATGCTGACTTTGTTGGTCTGTACAGGTGGATACTATAACAATACACTGATTAAACATGGAAGATATTAGCCTGAAGAGGGCTCAAATTGAGGTGGAATTAAAATGCTAAACTCAGGCTATAAGGTTGTCTGGCCACCGACTATGAGATATGTTCTGACCTCAGTTTAATAAGAAGATTAATAAAACTCATCACATTATTGACCTCTACAGCCTTGAGAGGTAATTGAAATATGTCTTCTATGAAATTCAAGCTTATATGCTCCTCAGGCTGCAGTCTGTCTGTGTTTGAGTCTAGCACCATTGCTGTAACAACTTTGCTTAAATAACTTGTTTTTCTAACATTTTTTACCCAGTGAATGAGTGTCAAGAATGCCAGCTCGTCAGCGAGGTTGGTTGCAATGCATAATCTTGATTAAAAGTCTGAAGATTTTCCAGGTTCATGCCCAAACACAAATGAGATGAATGTGACTTAGAGCATGATGCATCTAAAATCCATCATGAGACTGTGTGCACCTGTCTCTTCTTCAAGCTGATGGTTAGAAGCAAGGATCCACACCTAGCCCAATATCAAGAGGGAAATAACTTGAAGAAACCAGTTTGTTGTTGCACAATAAGACTATGTTTGCCAGAACCACAGAGCTATCACAGCCAGACTAAGTTGATCAATGGGGATAGTACTTATTCACAGTCAGTGTATTTCCTACAGTAGACGGCGGTCACACACGCCCACTTTGAAGAAACAGACAGGAGTACCAACACAGGAGCAAAGCAATGTACTGCTGTGGATGGGCGCAGCAGCCAACGACACTTAAAAAAGTGTCGCTTTAAGTGTACAATTTAGTCTCAATTTAATGCTGATGCCTCTATATGACCTACATAAGTAAACGAGACCATCATCAAGAAGATTGGCTTTTTCTATATAGTAAATCAGACAAAATCATTGTTCACTGCCAACTCCTTCAGCTCAAACTCCAGTGGGGCCTCCGGCAGCAACCAGCCCACCGCAGACAGACCCAGAATCGTCTTCACTGCCACCTTCAACCTGCAGTCGAGGAGTGTCGAGAGCTCTTCGCCTGGCATAAGCGTCTCCTCCTCCGGCCAGGAGCAGAGCTTCGCCTCACTGCTCTTCTGGTATCCGATAGGAGCCAACACCGACACCACGCTGCTGAAGACCCTGTATTGCTCGTTTTGCTGGAGGGAAGGGAGGCACGGAAGAACCAGGAACAGGACTGCTCTGTGCAGACTGTCAGACCCTTCTGCGGTGAAAAGAGAAGTTTTCGAAAGGGACTTTGGTGCTCACAAACACGACCACTTTTGTCCACAAGGACTGCCAAAATCAAGACAAAATTTAAGTTCCAAGTAGCAGCTTTAAAGGTGTCTCTGGTGGCTTTGAAGATAGTTTAACTTTCAGTTCGGTTCCTGCCTTGTTCCAATACCCTGTGGACTCATTCTCCAGTAAGATAAGCCACTTGAACAACTGATTAAACAGTGACCAGTAAAGTCTGCTCACCTAACATGCCTCTGAGTTAAATTCAGCAACACTGACTCATCAGTGTGGGAGGATGTCTGCAGAAGCCTGATTGAATAAGATACAATACATCAAAATGAGCTTTTAGTTCTAGGCTAGACTGATTTGGGATACAAGTGAGGAAAAAACCTTTCCATGCATGACAACCAGAGCTACACACATTATTACAAATCATCTCTGATGGCTCTCTGACACTTAGTTGCCAGATGTGGCAAGCTTTTATTTTAACTCTACGAAGACCATGGAACTAATATCAAAAGCTCCAGGAAAGTTTTTAATGCTCTCCAGCTGGACCCAAAGGCAAAACTCTCCAGTCAGCAAACCACATGCCTTCAATCTACCAGTTGCCCCACATTTCAAAGACTGTCAGAATAAGTAAAGCCCCTCTTTCAAGGCAATGCAAATCGCCCTCGAGGTTCAGACCAGCACTGATGAGGAGGTATTAAGGACAGAACTGACCGAAATAGAAGGAAGAAGAAATCCCACATTCAGAACCCCTCGGGTGCCCTTATATGAGACATCCCTTATCCAGACCGTGGCCTCATTGCTTCCGGTAATGAACAGAGATTAGAAGCTGTTGAGTAAAATGATACAGATCTCTTTGATAGCAGTTTATTGGACACTAATAAGTTGCAAAGCTGGCCAGAAGTGAAAGAAATAAGCCAGTACCTCAAACATTAGACACTTTCATAGTAAATCACCACATGCACTATGGCACAGGTTCCCCAAGTATTCCCTGGTGAAAATCAGTTCAGCTCACATACCAGGGTTAAGACCTAAAATTACTCAATTACTCAATTTATTCTTCTCCTCCTTTCCTTGGAAATGCCATGACCTGGAGATGAGGAGGAGGTTTAAAAAAAACAAAAGCCTTGTCATTCCATTCCAGTCCTGTTATCGAGGAAAGAACATTCACTACATTTTTACCATTCACTCTGTATTAATAGTGCAGTGGAATGCCAGTCACACACTATCACTGTCCGTACTGCACATCTCTAAAAAGTCTTGCCTAAAGCCAAAGTTATTTAAGGTCTCTTGTAGGAATGTTCATTCCACACCAGAGAGGATAACTAAATGCCTGGGTTTTGGTACATTAGTTGAGACTTTTCGCCTGTCTTGATAGTTATGATGTTACGAAGCAAAAATGATTTTAGCCAATCCCATTTGATGAAAGTCAAAAACAACATGGTGATGGTTAACAGTCGCAACTTGTTCATTAGATGAGATGGGCTGACATGTTAAGTTCCCGGCGATGCAAATGTAAATTTACAATGAAGAATGGGTTACTGTGGCACAGTGCTGGGGCCATATAGCACACCTGTACATCAGGGTCCATGGCGGGATAATCCATATGCTTCATTATAGTGCGAAAACAAATCTTGTTTGCTTAGGTTACATTAAGTGAGTCAAAAATAATCTGCCTCACATGAGGACAAAAGGGCTAGACACTCGAAATAAAATGCTAAATGTGCAGTTTTAATGTGTGGACAGAGGGATACATATACTGTAAACTTCTGATGTGTTTGAGGGTGTTATGGCTTGGTTGGGGACATACCGATATATTTTGGAACTGCCCAAACTTTCTACAGTATTCTACAAAATGATCAAAGAGAGATTAAGTTGATTTTCGGGATCAATCTGACTCTGAAGGATTAGTATTTTTGGTGTACTCTCTGAGATCAGACCAAATGATGAGCACAGTCTCTGATTAAAGCCACAGCACAGTACACCTATGCGAGTTGCTTTGTTGCATCATCTTGAACTGATGCAATAAGATAAAGTAAGTTACTAACATGTCCTCAATGCAATCAAGAAACAGATTTAGATTGAACAGAGAACCATAATAACACTTTCAACACAGTCACCATTTATAGAAGGCAGCATGTGATGATGACTAAAAGCCACTAGATGGCACAAGGCAGAGCGTAAATGAGTCAGCTTTGAAGTGCACTAGGAAGGAAGTACTCAACAGTGAATTGCTTCCTGACTGCTTAGATGACGCTCAAACATCTTTGATGTTGTGGGAAATACTGAGATATGGGCCAAGCTTGATTTTTTGTGAGTTTGCAAAGTGTCAGCTTGTTTGATCCCAGGGGGTGAAGGAAACATCACATGACACACAAACTGATCAATGAGTATTTACTGCTCGGAATATAGGGAATGATTTTCATCGTTTGTATTCATATTAGTCTCATTGGTGTATTATTTCAAAGTAAAATACACCCAGAGAAACACATATACACCCACACCTGCACCTCAGTTCCCTCTTTGACCTATTGTTCTGTATTTGCGATAATGCATTTAACAGATTTTAGTTTATATGCGCAAATGTGTTGGGGTTTGTTGTCAAAACAAAAGTTGGACAACTAAATATAAATCATTTAGCAAACCTGGATCCAACCCCTCTGCACATTTTACTCCCAGTTGTGTGTGTTGTTTCTATAGAAACAGTTAAATGACAGTCCCCTTAGCAGAGAGCCAATCAGCAGCCGC